AAAAATGGAATAATTATGATGTTATTAGTTTCAAAGAAAATAATACTTTCAATTTTTCCCCGTTTCGACTTTTCTAAGTTCGGAGGTATGTGTATACTTATTCAAAAGTGTCCACAATATGCAAGTGCCTTTAACTCCATTTTCCAACACACCACTTACATATTTATTTTATTTAAAAAAAAAAAATGCTTTTTATGACTGTCATATCATAGGATTAAAAATATGTTTATGTTCATAAAACTGTACCCATCTTTTGATTCGGCCACTTAAATGTGATTACGGTAGAAAGTTCAAAACATTATGTCATTAGTTTTAAAATGATTTTATGATTAAACCAAATTTTATTTATGTAATCTCTTTGAACATATTCAGGTATTGCTATCCTCACCCACTGCTCTGATCCGTGACGTATAGTGTGCTAACCTTCGGGGATAAACAACGACATCACCCAAAGCCTTAACCATTTACACCAACATATTTTATTAAGATTTTAATAAAATTCAATAACATTACCCACGCCCCCTCCCCCCCCCCTTTTTTCCCTTAAAAACGGCGTTGTGCAACTTCGGCCCAACCTTAAGCTATATTGATATTCTCATGTCCTACACGCCCTTTTTCGAAGCAATGTACTTTATTTTCTTATTAAAGACTAACGAGAACCCGGCATGCATTGCAATGCCACTCACAGAAAAAGTGTTTGTGTTTTAATTACGTTTTACAAGTATTTTTTAAATTGAATGTATTTTATTTCCATCTGGTGCGTACACAAATAAATTACAAGGTTTTTCGGTGCGTGAACAGGCCACACACAGCTGTCCACATGAACAGGCCACACACAGCTGTCCACATGAACAGGCCACACACAGCTATCCACATGAACAGGCCACACACAGCTGTCCACATGAACAGGCCACACACAGCTGTCCACATGAACAGGCCACACACAGCTGTCCACATGAACAGGCCACACGCAGCTGTCCACGTGAACAGGCCACACACAGCTGTCCACATGAACAGGCCACCCCCAGCTGTACACATCAACAGGCCACACCACAGCTGTCCACATGAACAGATGAACAGGCCACACGCAGCTGTCCACGTGAACAGGCCACACACAGCTGTCCACATGAACAGGCCACACACAGCTGTCCACATGAACAGGCCACACGACAGCTGTCCACATGAACAGGCCACACACAGCTGTACATGTAAGAAGCATGGATTTTCAAAATTGAGTCCACACACTTGTAGCGATCGATCCACCCATGCAGCAGCTCTGTTTGAAGTTATACGTATACAGCTCACAATTTTTAAAAAATCAAGTCCCCGGCCCCACACCCAATAGTAAAATGATTGTACTAATTCAGAAACCTAATTAATATGTCACACAAACTGAAATGTCGCTTGTATTTTATTCAATTCCTTCCACCCATGCAATAACTCTGTTTCAAATTATAGGTGTATGTCCTATAAGAAAAAAAATAAATTTACGGTCTTTCGCACAACACTTTACCAAAATCTTATCGCAATCTGATGAATGGTATAGGAAAGCATGCAGAAATTATATATTGGCTCATGAGCGTATGACAGCAAAAAAAAAAAAAAAAAAAAGAATTTAGCTTGGGCCCAAAGCAGAATATTATAAAAATGTGTGTACTATTTCAGAAAAATGTACGGGCGTATGCACAACAACTCACAAAAGTTTTATCGCAATCTGATAAATGGTATAGGAGCGCATACGGGACTTATATACATACACACTATGTATAAACATAGTTTACGGAATAAAAGATACCATTTGCGCAACGTACTTGCTATTTTGAAAATTAAATTTTCGCTTGTGTAAAATGAATGGGTTTTGATATTCATGGGTATAATGGAGTAAAATTACTTACGTTTTGTTAACGTCATGGATTTTCTTAATTGGTGATATGAGAATAGAGAGTATATTTTACCCAATTGTAACATCATTGAGTTTAAAGAAATTGCCATCCACGTAAAATTGTACAGACCCTAATTTTATAACCCTTATAGATATGTACCTAAGAAAGCTTATTATTTGTCAAATTCAGTCTGACGCGTATCATGTGCAGCCTTTGGCAAATGAACCTATCGTATTACTCTCTCTCTTCCCCCCCCCCCACCAACAAAAATTAATAAATAAACAAACAAAAATAAAATCAATTTAAAAAAAAAAATTAATAAAATCATCAACGGGATTTTAACCACCTTACCTACGCAAAAAACACGTAGAAACTATTTTTTGCATTTCACATGCTTTGTTCTTATTTGGATGAGTCACAAGTGCATTAGTGAATGCTGTTTGGATATGTAGTTTCGCTGCACTGATTGCATTAAACGGAATTTGAGTAATAAAAGTATATTTAAAGGGTTTTTCACTACTAGATCAATTTCATAAGAAGTATATTTTTGAAAGAAAAAAGTAAAATCTTAATTGATCGTTAAAAATAAAAATCTAAAGTAGTGTTTAATTTTAGAATATTTTATCAATTAAAAAAAAAACAATATTTTATATTTATTAACTTTACTTTTAAGAAGGGGAAAAAAGATTATCATTTTTGTCACGCACGGTTATAAAATAATTTGAAAACTTAGAGCTGTGGCTACAATAGAAAAATCACGCTATGACGTCATTTGCGTATACATTTAGATCAAATGAATTTAATTTTTTTTTTTCGCAGTCTTAACAACCCACGAAACTACGCACTAAGAATAGCAGATGTTTGGGTTTTCCCGATAAATGTGATTAAGATGCAAACTTTAGATCATAATATTAATTTTTTTCATTACTTTTACATTCGGATAAAATGCTTAAGATAACTCCTTAGTTGTTACTCTAAATATATTTGTAATTTATAATAATAATACTTAAACTTTTGAAAAATAAAAGTCGACATTTCTTTGCGCATATAAATTATTCGATATCCGTAAAATAATAGAAAATAACTATGATTGTTTTTTAGAATACGAACGTATCAAAATATATTCGGGTTTTTAGCATTATGTCAGTAATACTCATTCTTATATATAAAGTTTATTTCTTATTTCGGTATATTTAAAGAAGATTGATATTTATTTTAAAAATTAAAATCAATATCAAAATTCAATCTGTAACAGATTCGGGTTCGGAGATACTAGTCTTAAAATGTCAACCCTTAATCAGTATTTTAACTACCGTATTTATTGGCGTATCATACGCACTTTTTCTCCCTGAAAATAGGGGCAAATCATGGTGTGCCTGTTATACGCCGATATAATGTTTAGTATTTTTTTCCTGAAATTTCCTTCTTCAATTGAGGTGCGTGTTATAAGTTGGGGCATGTTATAGGTCAATAAATACGGTATTTTAAAGCCAAGTTCCAAAAATTTCCTTTAATTTTAAATAGATTTCAAATTTCTCGAGTGAAAAGGGTAGAGCTAATTGATAAACTTTAAAATTTTGTGTGGCGTGTTGAAACAATATCCGCAATTGAAAAAAAAAAGTATTTATTTTAAAGAGGGGGAATCAATTCAAATATTTTTTTGTTTTGTGCCGCGGTTAAATTAAAATAAAAAAAAAATTTAAAAAAACATGTCGATTTGCGAGTTTTGATAATGTTCTTATAAGATTATTTAAATTAAGTTTTTATAATATTATTCATATTTTTTTTGCAATGAATTCAAGCGAAAAATGATATAGTTTTTGATAATTTGAAAAGTTAACATATATTTAGATTTAATCGTAAGACCATAAGTAAGGGCAGATCATTTGAAAATTGACGAGTGCGAATGGTGGCGCTGCTTGTCTGGGTCCAGTTTGACTCAGTACTATTCGGATGTCACTTTTGTAGTTTATTTTAGTTAAACTGAAGAATCAAGTTTACAAACATATAGTCCATTCAATTATCTTTTATTTGTTACCTCATTTTGTCTTACAAACCCAACAATAAAAATTTAAATAGTATTTTAATCCCAAGATCTCTCTTCTGGTACCCAGGTACGAATACCCACTTTGAGAAAACAAAGGAAAATATTACGCATCAAATGCACTTGCGATTAAAAAACAAACAATCTCATTTAGCTGTTTTCTGATTCTGACTGGGTTCGTTGCTGCATTCATGATCTGGCATATGTGCAACGGTTTGGGAAACGATGCTGCTATCCTAACGGCTCCTAGCGGTTGTCATGTCAGCCTTGAAACTGTATTTTTATATATTGTATCATCATGTTTCCTTCCTTAATCTTCCCCTTGAAAAAGAGTGATTTTGGGGGATTTTTGTTGGGGGAACGGCTGGAAATATTAAAGAATGTGCTGTCATCGGCAACTAGTCTATGTGTCAAGTTTCATCTCGATAGGTTGATGGGAAGTTGGTCCGAAGATTTTGCCAGTCCGCCACCAAATATGGCTCACAGCCAGCGATTTAAAACGTGATTTAAAAAGGATTTAAAATGTTGTAGAAAAAAATTACATTGATAACTCTTTAATGTTGTACTTGTTAATAGTATAATAAAACTATTAAGGGCAAAATGAGTCGTTCGGTTTTATTATCTGCATATATAGCGGCATTGATTTATTGTAACTTTCAATGTATTTCGATGCATCTTCATCGAAAAGATCATCCCTATTTCTTTCTACATTAATTTAATTAAATTCTACATCAATGTGTTCGATTGTTTTATCAAATCTTTCAACAATTTAAACTCTATGTGCACAACTCCTACGGATCAGAAATACTTGAACACCTTTTCATGTTTTCTTTCTAAATCCCACTTTTTTGACAAATGAACCACACCACATGTCTCGCAAAACTCTGGTGGCTATAAATCTTTTCGATAGGAGATATTGTTCAATGTTCGCTAAATCAGGAAGTTAAATGTCAAGAGAAATCTTATCTACTGTTTCAGCGTATGTGTTATGTAGTCTGTTTTTACCCCACGTGCTATTTAATGGGCCATGTTAATATCTTAGCATACGGGCGTGTCTATTTTTGAACTTTGAAGTAGCTATGTAAGTGGAAGGTTATTTGCTTCTGTTTGTAGGTGAAAATCGATGTACGTAAGTAAATTTTTCATCTATAATTAATCTTATTTATTTTATATATTTATGTAAAGTGTTGTAAAGCAAACTTTTTTAAAGTTGATAAACACTTTCATATTGTTGTTGCTGGAATATAAGTTTAAATGACGAACGAATAGAATTTTCAATTTTTCTTGTTTTAAGCGGTTAGACAGACAGAGATTCGTAGATATGACACAGTAAAATAAACATAATTATTTAAAATTGATTTTTGTTTTCGTTTTCTTTCTCTTGTATTTTGAAAGGTAAAAAATACTGGATTATAAAAAGAGGATTTAATTATTTTTTTTTAAAAATATGGCTATTAACTATATCTGCCAAGAGAAAATATGTTTCATTCAAGTTAATGATTCAGATGTTTATAGATTAAAGACCCAAAAGCATTAGTTCGTTATGAAGATCTGTAAAAAAAATGTGCTATCCACATATTTAAAGATATATTTGGTAAGTGTAAAATAAAGAAATTGATGTCATTTATGCAAATTATTAGGGCAATCATCATTATTACAAGTATATATTTACACTAACACACAGACGCCTCTACCTACTTAACTACCTATCTACCTACCTACCCCCAACCAATGCACCGTTTTTTCTTTTAAAAGAGGCAATTAAAATTACTTACGGGATGGGCGGAGCTAGTTAAAGTTAAAGGTATAAAACATATGCTTTTTTTAAATGTTCCTTTTTTTTATTGTTTCTGTTTTCTTACACGCTGTGGGAATTCGCTGTTAATGAAAATTAATGACGTGATAATTTTTTTACAGAAAGTGTCGTGAAATCGTTGGTCAATGTGTGTTAAGCCCCCGTATCTAAATGAAGAACTACAATAAATATATTTCATGGATTAGCAAGATTTTAACTTAGTGACCGAACATGTCTTTCATGTTTGTCACTTAAATGTTCGAAATAGAATTCTGTCAAGTGCTGCCCATATAACATGACTGAGAGCTGATTTAAACTAAAACTGTTTGACAATTAGGAGAATGATTCATTGGAAATATACAATAACAATATTGTTTACATTTTCTCTTATTGGACTTGAAGTGACAGGTATGTAATTCGTAGAGAAACAATAAAAATAGTGAAGAAACAAACAGTTTAATTTTTTAAAATGTCTGACTTCAGACATCTATAAAGTATTTTCAAATCATTAATGAGACATTAATGAAATAGTCGTTGTTATTTTAGCATGTGAGACTGGATGGTTTGGTACAAATTGTGAATACCAATGTCATTGTACTACTGCCACATGTGACACTGATGGAGGGTGCCTGCCAGGAAAATGTGCTTCTGGGTGGTTTGGTCCAGCTTGTCAATACCGTAAGAAACCTTTTATTGGAGTTAAATTCAAAGATTAATACAATTTACTATTTTAAAAGCAGAGTGAATGTTGCATTTAACGTTTATCTTAAATGCATGGTAAGATAGTTGATTCAAGTGGGAGGTTGGCAACAAGAAGTTTCAAATCTTGAAATAAAAAAAAAGAAAAGCAATAACACTGACATTTTGACTGGACACGTTCAATAATGAAATAAAAAAGATAATAATAGATGCCTAAAGGTGACAGCTTGAAAGAAAAAGGCATCACAATGGGAAATTTGTCAGAAAAACAATTCCTATTAAGTGTTATCCTAATTATTACCAATCATATTTTTAAAATGTTAATGGAGATTTGAACGTATGAACTCACATCTTCACACAGAAGGAACGAAGTTTCAACAATATAATCTTTTTTTAGCCCGTCTATCATTTTAATTATTAAAATGTCAAAAAATAATTTAAGAATTTAGGTGTTTGAAGAGAATTCGATAAAACATCATATATAAATTTCAGTTCATAACTTTAGCTTGCTACTATATTAATATATGAGAAGCAATATTTTCTTGAAAATAAACACATTTCTATCGCAATATTTTCATATAGTTATTTATTTGAGAAGATCTGTGTTTACTATGACAGGTTAAGTTAATTAAAAGTTATGGACTAGCAGACAGAAAGGACGAAAAAAATTTACAAGAACATTCAAGTTTTATTTAAAATCTTAGTTATATTACTCTAATGATACGCAAGATCTTAAAAATATTCAAAATATTTAAAAAAATTTGATGTTTTCGTTGTATTGTTTAAGAGGACCTGTATTCACAACCACAAGTTGCCATAAGGTCACTGATTGCTACAATCCTCACAGACAGAGATGACCAAACATGTTTAACAACGAATATAAGAAATTTGACAGTTACATTATTCATGATTTATCCCATTACTTGGATACGATTAGTTGTGAAAAAACCTGGTAAGTAGTAGAATAAAACATTTGTTGATTTTTTTTATTGTTCTAAATGTCCAAACATAACGCGCATTTTTCTAAGAAAACGCAAATTAAAAAAAATGCGTGCAAATTGCTTGCATTTTTCGCTATTTAAGTCACAATGTTTTCACCCATGTCTGCAACGGTGAGTAAAGCTCCACCACTAGATGGCGTTAGATGAGCTCATTGACTATGAACGGAAGTAGAAAAACTAAGTGGCGAATAAGGATTTACCAAGTAATGATCAGTTAGAAAACATAACGCACTACTGCGCGCCTCTATTTTAATTCGGTAAAAACATAACGTCCACGTAAGCGGCATCTGATCTTGGCAGGATACACGTACATTTCCGTAATTTTTTACGTAGACAAAAAGGTATCCGCGGGCCGCATGAGAGGGCCTCGCGAGCCGCATGTGGCCCGCGAGCCCTAGTTTGGAGACCCCTGTATTAGACTATCGGATTATTTGTGAGATATATTTCATATATATAGTTTTAATTTACACTATCATATGAATTGAACTACATTCTAAAGACTCTCACATCTCGAACTTTGTGTTTAAGAATGTATTGATTTTTCACAATAGAAAAATATTCTATTGCCAATATAGAATAAGTATATAATACTATTGTGTAGTGAGGACTTTCTAAAAAAATTAACTAATATTTTGTGTTTCAGATCAGTTGCATACAATTACAATATTGTTCACCGACACACAAAACAGTGTTACAACATGCAGTAGAACTGTAATACAAGATAGAACCCTGGACGTAATCTGTGACGTCAGTGTTGCAGCAAACAAAATAAGCTTTAGAGGAGACGGCGTGAGCTCACTGTGCTCTCTTTACATAAGTGGGGGTAGGTCTTTACATTGGGGGGTTAGATCTTTACATTAGTGGTTGTAGGTCACTACATTGGTTGAGGTAGGTCTTTACATTAGTGGAGGTAGGTCTTTACATTAGTTATGCAAGTTCTTTACTTTTTTGGAGGTAGGTCTTAACATTAGTGGAGGTAGGTCTTTACATTAGTGGAATTAGTTCTTTACATTAGTGGAAGTAGGTCTTTTTTATTAGTGGAAGTAGGTGTTTAAATTAGGGGAGGTAGGTCTTTACATTAGTGGAGCTAGGTCTTTACATTAATGAAGGTAGGTATTTACATTAGTGGAGATAGGTCTTTACATTAGTGGAGGTTGGTCTTAACTTAGTGGATGTAGTGCTTTACTTTTTTGGAGGTAGGGCTTTACATTAGCTGAGTTATATATTTACATTGTTTGAGGTAGGGATTAACATTAGTGGAGGTAGGAATTTACATAGGGGAAGGTAGGGATTTACATTGGTGGAGGTAGGGATTTACATAGAGGAAGGTAGGGATTTACATTGGTTGAGGTAGGGATACACATTGGTGGAGGTAGATTTTTACATTAGTGAAGGTAGGTCTTTACATTAGTGGATGTAGGACTTTGCATTAGTGGAGGTAGGTCTTTACATTAGTGGAGGTAGGTCATTACATTAGTGGAGCTAGGTCATTACATTAGTGGAGGTAGGTCTTTACATTAGTGGAGGTAGGTCTTTACATTATTTATGCATGTTCTTTACTTTGTTGGGGGTAGGTCTTAACATTAGTGGAGGTAGATCTTTACATTAGTGGAGGTAGGTCTTTATTAGTAGAGGTGGGTCTTTACATTAGTGGAGGTAGGTCTTTACATTATTTGTGCATGTTCTTTACTTTGTTGGGGGTAGGTCTTAACATTAGTGGAGGTAGATCTTTACATTAGTGGAGGTAGGTCTTTATTAGTAGAGGTGGGTCTTTACATTAGTAGAGGTGGGTCTTTACATAAGTGGGGGTAGGTCTTTACATTGGGGGGTTAGGTCTTTACATTAGTTGTTGTAGGTCACTACATTGGTTGAGGTAGGTCTTTACATTAGTGGAGGTAGGTCTTTACATTAGTTATGCAAGTTCTTTACTTTTTTTGAGGTAGGTCTTAACATTAGTGGAGGTAGGTCTTTACATTAGTGGAATTAGTTCTTTACATTAGTGGAAGTAGGTCTTTTTATTAGTGGAAATAGGTGTTTAAATTAGGGGAGGTAGGTCTTTACATTAGTGGAGCTAGGTCTTTACATTAATGAAGGTAGGTCTTTACATTAGTTGAGATAGGTCTTTACATTAGTGGAGGTTGGTCTTAACTTAGCGGAATTAGTGCTTTACTTTTTTGGAGGTAGGGCTTTACATTAGCTGAGTTATATATTTACATTGTTTGAGGTAGGGATTAACATTAGTGGAGGTAGGAATTTACATAGGGGAAGGTAGGGATTTACATTGGTGGAGGTAGGGATTTACATAGAGGAAGGTAGGGATTTACATTGGTTGAGGTAGGGATACACATTGGTGGAGGTAGATTTTTACATTAGTGAAGGTAGGTCTTTACATTAGTGGATGTAGGACTTTGCATTAGTGGAGGTAGGTCTTTACATTAGTGGAGGTAGGTCATTACATTAGTGGAGCTAGGTCATTACATTAGTGGAGGTAGGTCTTTACATTAGTGGAGGTAGGTCTTTACATTATTTATGCATGTTCTTTACTTTGTTGGGGGTAGGTCTTAACATTAGTGGAGGTAGATCTTTACATTAGTGGAGGTAGGTCTTTATTAGTAGAGGTGGGTCTTTACATTAGTGGAGGTAGGTCTTTACATTAGTGGACGTAGGTTTTTACATGGGGGGAGGTAGGTCTTTACATTAGTGGAGGTAGGTCTTTACATGGGTGGAGGTAGGTCTTTACATTAGTGGATGTAGGTTTTTACATTAGTTATGCAAGTTCTTTATTTTTTTTGAAGTAGGTCTTTACATTAGTGGAAGTAGGTCTTTACATTAGTGGAGGTAGGCCTTTACATTAGTGGAGGTAGGTCTTTACATTAGTGGAGGTAGGTCTTTACATTAGTGGAAGTAGGTCTTTAAATTAGTGGAGGTAGGTCTTTACATTAGTGGAGGTAGGTCTTTACATTAGTGGAGGTAGGTCTTTACATTAGTGGAGGTACTGCTTTACTTTTTTGGAGGTAGGGCTTTACATTAGCTGAGTTATATATTTACATTATTTGAGGTAGGGATTAATATTGGTGGAGTTAGGGATTTACAATGGTGGAGGTAGGGATTTACCTTTGGGTGAGGTAGGGATTTACATTGGTGGAGGTAGGGATTTACATTAGTGGAGGTAGGGATTTACATTGGTGGAGGTAGGGATTTATATTAGTGGAGGTAGGGATTTAAATTAGTGGAGGTAGGGATTTACCTTGGGTGTGGTAGGGATTTACATTGGTAGAGGTAGGGATTTACATTAGTGGAGGTAGGGATTTACATTAGTGGAGGTAGGGATTTACATTGGTAGAGGTAGGGATTTACATTGGTGGAGGTAGGGATTTATATTAATTAAGGTAGGGATTTACATTGGGTGAGGTAAAGATTTACATTGGTGGAGTTAGGGATTTACATTAGTGGAGTTAGGGATTTACATTAGTGGAGGTAGGGATTTACATTAGTGGAGGTAGGGATTTACATTAGTGGAGGTAGGGATTTACATTAGTGGAGGTAGGGATTTACATTGGTTGAGGTAGGGATTTACATTGGTTGAGGTAGGGATTTACATTAGTGGAGGTAGGGATTTACATTAGTGGAGGTAGGGATTTACATTAGTGGAGGTAGGGATTTTTATTAGTGGAGGTAGGGATTTACATTATTGGAGGTAGGGATTTACATTAGTGGAGGTAGGGATTTACATTAGTGGAGTTAGGGATTTACATTGTTGGAGGTAGGGATTTACATTGGTTGAGGTAGGGATTTACATTAGTGGAGGTAGGGATTTACATTAGTGGAGTTAGGGATTTACATTAGTGGAGGTAGGGATTTACATTAGTGGAGGTAGGGATTTACATTAGTGGAGCTAGGTCATTACATTAGTGGAGGTAGGGATTTACATTAGTGGAGGTAGGGATTTACATTGGTTGAGGTAGGTATTTACATTAGTGGAGTTAGGGATTTACATTAGTAGAGATATGGATTTACATTAGTGGAGGTAGGGATTTACATTAGTGGAGTTAGGGATTTACATTAGTGGAGGTAGGGATTTACATTAGTGGAGGTAGGGATTTACATTAGTGGAGGTAGGGATTTACATTGGGTGAGGTAGGGATTTACATTAGTGGAGGTAGGGATTTACATTAGTGAAGGTAGGGATTTACATTGGTGGAGGTAGGGATTTACATTAGTGGAGGTAGGGATTTACATTAGTGGAGGTAGGGATTTACATTAGTGGAGGTAGGGATTTACATTAGTGGAGGTAGGGATTTACATTAGTGGAGGTAGGGATTTACATTAGTGGAGGTAGGGATTTACATTATTGGATGTAGGGATTTACATTAGTGGAGGTAGGGATTTACATTAGTGGAGGTAGGGATTTACATTAGTGGAGGTAGGGATTTACATTAGTGGAGGTAGGGATTTACATTGGCGGAGTTAGGGATTTACATTGGTGGCGGTAGGGATTTACATTGATGGAGGTAGGGATTTACATTGGTAGAGGTTTGGCTTTACCTTAATGGATGTTCGGATTTAGATTACGTGAGATAGGGCTTTACTTTGGTGAAAATAAATATCGGAGCAGGATATATTAAGGCTTTCTAAACCAGGGAGATACCTAGGGCATTTGGTACCCATCAAAGAAACATCAGAAATATTGTTGTAATCAGACCAGCTGTAAAATTCGCAAAAGGAACTTATAACCTTACCCTGTCAATAGAGGAAATTCCAAATAATTAGGAATAAAGAGAGGGCACCACAAAAACCCAACATGAAAATTGATATTTAAGGTTTCTATAATTAAAGTACATTTCTATAACTCAAGGAATACTAGACTTCGTGATAGAGAACAAGAGAGTATGACATGGCGCAAGCCATGCATTTTCTCAAGAGAGAGTTACACCATTCATCGTTATAATTATACAAGGATATGATTATTATTCGTGCTACTAAATGAAGTGTAATTTGCGCCTAGCGCACCCGCCATACCATATGTACGCTGCTGTGATAAACAGTGGTGAAAGCAGGCTTATATTTGTAACGTTTTGCATTAAATTATTTGAACACATTTCCCCAGAATAATATTTGAACTGACAAAGAAACATATCGTTGAACAATTTAAATATTTGGAATATCTGGACACATCTTGTGATCTTTAATTTACCGTTGAACAAAAGATTTAAAACCTCAATATTTTATCAGTCATACTAATTAATTTAAATATAATTTTTTAGATCTTTACTGACTGGAAAGCTCTTTGCTCCCTATGACTAAGTCTTTATGACCTTTGGAAACAACAAAATAGACCTGTGTCACGAAATTTTTAATTAGCTAAATATACGTGTGTCGCAATGTTTTTATGAGCTTCTTAATTAACATGATTATATATGATTAAAAAAATGGATTTGAAGATGAACTTATGATTAAATCATGTAACTAGTTTTAAATTGTATTTTAGGTAGAAACATAGCATTAAAGCAAATGACGTCACAATCAAGTAACTACAGCGAAGGATCAGTAATATATGACTCCAGTCGTGCTGTAGATGGCAATACAGATTCCGATTTCTTTCATGGCAGTTGCACACATACACAGATAGAGACTGCCTCTAATTGGAATGTGACATTCTCTAGACCTCAACTTGTAAACAGATACGTTCTTTACAATAGAAACCACCGTAAGTTTTACTATAATATAAAAGTTCAAACACTAATTGAAATGACGTCACAAGTTATATTAGTTTTGCTTACATTTTAAAAGTCCGTCCTAGGAAAAAATGAAATTTTTATGTAGCTTGTTCTTATAAGATCAGACGATTTGATTAGGGAGAATTGAGATTAGAAAGAGTGGGGAGGATGATATTATGGAAAATTCTTGTGGCCAAGATGTGGCGATGAATGGTTGAGTATGTCAGTAGAGACCACGTATAACTTTATTTAAATTCATTAGTTCATTTTTAAGGGTGAATCAATATAACGACATATGATATCTTGCTTGTCTCATTGTTATCTTAAAGATTTTTAAGTAGTTTATACATACATAGTACATACTGTTTCACTGTAAGTTACTTCTTAGTCAATTTAATTTCTTTTCACTAATTTCTTGTAAGTATTAGTCTTCAGTCAATTATGTAATATCATGGTTTATTTAGTTTTAATGAATCACTAGAATAATTATATAATTTTTTACAAGTGACGCTTACTTCTGTTTATTTTGAAGATAAAAGAATAAATTATCGTCATTGTAGAAAACTGTTAACTTTTTAAATGTTATGACTTATAATTTTCTGTCTATGGTATGATTTTAGTTCAAGAAAGACTGCTGAGTTTCTCTCTCTCAAGTTTTAACTCAGAAAATATCACTGTCTTCACTTACTCCATCCCTCAAAAACAACAAATGATTTATACCTTGATTTCACCCCCTGCAATTGTTTCATTTGTTAAAATATTCACCAATGTCACCCAAATCCTGACCTTGTGTGAAGTGGGAATCTATGGTGGTGAGTAACATAGTTTGTTTATTTTATTTAGCCCAGGACAGTTGTCTTAAAAAAAAATCATATCTTTTTCAAACACTGATATAAAGAAATCAAACATTTATAATTATTTTCTTGATATCTTTTATGTAGCACAACTTTCCCGTGCGTGAACTTTGCTTTGACTTAAATTAAACGGACCATAGCGTTTGTGTTGGGCGTGGTTTAAATTCTCTTTGATGTATCTTGTTTACAACTGACGGCCAAATACACATTGGTTAGTATGCCTACTAGTGTCTTATGGAAGGTTCTCGATTTTTTTCTGGAAAAGTAAAGGCGTTTCTAGGCGCGTCGGTAGACCCACATATATAAATGATTGACAGGCACAGAGGGTCGGAGATTCAGACGGAGATTCAGATAGGTTTTATTAACTTCACGAGACGTGTATTATTCTTTGTGTTCTTATATATGTGTTTATTTCGCATTTCATTATTATGCATTGGCACATTATTCTAACTGCGTTAACTGTGTACCGGTACAAGATCTACCATACTGTAAGTTGATGATTTGTAATGATATTTTTTTTCTTTTGTAATTACATTAATACTTATTAAATCTTATTAATTGTAAATAGGAACTGTTTTGGTTGTCGTATCTTTAATATTGTTGATTCTATGGTATTGTCCTTTGTTAGGCACTGCTTACAACGAGCCAATAACAATTAAAATAGGAGATTAATTTCTCCCAATACAAGTCAGTGCGTAACAATATCATTATACAATCTATCCATATTTATAGAGTTGAATTGTGGATCTAGTTGTAAGCATTTATTATGTACGAGTTGATTTATCTTAAGCAGGTTCTTCAATTGGGTTTTATTTGTAGTGAACCTTGAAATGACGGTACATTAAATCTGAATCACATTCCATTTCTTTTTGATTGCGTAATTCTAACAGTTCCATACTTTTTAAGAAATACTTTTTTTAAGAATAAACATTTGATAAAATATAAGTTAACTAGATATAGCTCACGAAACACTGGCGGCAGCAATTAGTGAACTTCTCATCTACTAAAGTTACTTGACAAAACATGAACTCAACAGCTGATAGGATTTAACCCGGATCAACATTTGTCAAATGTGTTAAGTTAAGAGACATAACTATTAGAATGACACATATTTTTCTTACTAGTAGACATCCCATAAGTAATTATATGGTTAATTTGTATGAAAAGTTGACGTTTCCCTATGTTTTTATGTTAACAGTTGTCGTGTATCTATACTCCCGCCTTTCTCTTCCCTTCTCTCACTCCAGTAATGACTCACATGTTGACTCTCTAAATAGAAACTTTGTTTCCCATTTCTTTTCTCCGAATTTGAAGATTTTCTTTCCTTCTTAAACAGCATTACAGAATAATTCTCAGTTTTTGTGAGGTAGTTAGAAATTTATAGATTCAATCTAGCAATATCTGACTCAAAACTGTAAGTCTGAATCTGATTATCGTTTGACAATGTACTACGGATTTTGAAAGGGTTAGATTTAAATTAAAATCAAAGTAATAATTTAACAATTTAGTGTATTTATCATCGCAACATTAAAATTTGCGATATGACATAAACACAAGGCTTCCGATGACCATAACGTGTTACATGTATGCGTTTTTATTATTTTGATCAATAGGTAAGCTAGTTAGAAATAGCCGAGTTGGTATCTTTATTCCAGATTTGATATTATAAATTTCTTCAAGAACCTACTGCTACCAAGTGTTTGTAACACAGATGCACAAATGAATTCAGTTGTTATCGTGAAAATACTTATTGAAAACTCACTGGGTTTTTTTTTACTTAAATGTTTTTATTTTTGTATGTGTCTGCATTATATTTTCTAAGAAACATGAATCTACTAATTATGTTTGTGATGTCGAAACGCTTGGAATGGCAACAATAAAATCTGAAATGTGACATTTTTTCAATAAAGCTAAAGGACCTATTTTAATATGTAATTACTAGAATAAAATGACCCGATGTTATAAATGGTAGGTCCTTAGCGATAATTTTCCACCTCCTATTGCAAAAATTCATCACAATTCCTAAGTTCAAAAGTCATTTTCTATGTCATGGTATTAACGTTTCTAACACAATTACGTTTTTGAGAAGTATTTAAAATAGTAAACGCATAACCTATTCCCTTCGACGCCCTAAATTACATTTTCCCCTGTAATCATGAACTTAAATTACCAAATTTAAATTATATCTGATTGTATCATTATTGTCACTAAAGAAGTTAATTGGGTGACAAGTTCTACGCTAGAGAAATACTTTAGATTTCGTGTGCTTTGAAATTCTTAAATGTTTGCCTACCCTAACTCCTTTTGTGCCCTTAGAATACCATTTTTTTGTCTTTCTAAAAATTATAAAAACATAATTAAAATTTAAAAGAAAAACTCGATATATGATATAAATATTTTTTATTAACATAATTTGATACATAGATATCTTCATACAAATAGTAAAATCAATTTGGCTTATTTTTTAAAAAAATTATACATTATCGGAAATCAAAAAACAAAGAATTCTTTAATTTAAAGAAGAATCTTGTGAATGCTATTTTGGGTGTGGAGTTTCATTGCACTGATTGTCTTCAACTGCGTTTTCTTATTTAAAGTATATTTATAGGTTAAGTTTCTTTACGTTATAAATTTAATAAAAGTATATTTATTGAATTTAAAAAAAATAATTAAAAATTAAACATACAATGCTAGTCATTTTTGTGCATCATGAAAAATTAAAAAAGCAGTCAATCATATTTATTCATTTTTATTTTTAGAAGGGGGCAATTCATGATCAGTTCTGTCTCGCGCGGTAATTAAATCAAAGAAACTTAGAGCTATGGCTAAAATAGGCAATCGCGCTATGACGTCATTTGCATATTTATATATATGCAATTAATTTTATTTTTATTTCGCAAAATTAACAACGCTTTAAAGACGCACAGAAAACAACCGATGTTTGAATTTTACGGATGAATGTAATTACGATGTAATTCTATGAACATAATCGTTTTATTAATATATTTTTGCTATTACTTTAAATTTTTTAGATGCTTAAAATTGATTTCTAGTTGCTACTTGTAATTGATAATAATTATACTTAAATTTTTACTACATTAAAGCGTATTTATGTTATTTTTCATCATTTAATTTTATTCAATATCCGTCAAATAATAAAAATAACTATAATGCTTTTTAAGAATCCGAATGTAGTTAAATCTTTTCAGTTCTTTGGTGTTATGGTCAGCATAGCTAATTCTTATTTATTAGAATAAATGACCCGAAGTTATCGGGTAATAATGGTAGGTACTTTGCGATAATTTATAACTGCTATTCCAAAAACTTATCCCAATTTATAAATTTTAAAATGTAATGATATTAACATTTCTAACATCATTACGTTTTGAGAAGTGTTTCTCTGCTATATATGATACGCGTGCCCTACAACCGTTCACGCTCCTGAACTACTTTTACCCCTCTAAACATTACCCTAAATTACAATAGGTGTTAAATTACCCAAACTAAATTACCACTAATTATATCCCTTTTGTCACTAAAGAAGTTAATTGAGGGATAATTACTTAGTTAGAGAAATAAGGGCACGAAAGGGGTAATTCTAAATTATATCTATATATATCGATATATATGAATATATATAAATATATATATAAATATATATATTTATACATTTTAAAGAACTTTATTATTTATTACTGCTTTTTCTTTCCATTAAAACGAGTATTTAAAAAAAAAAAAATTAAAGCAAGAATAAAACTGGTACGACTGCAAAAAATCTGTACATGCAAAATTAAAGCACCATAATACGAAATTTTTACGAAAAATCCTGATCAATCGACTCTTTAAACGACCATTTAAATACATACATATATATATATATGAGCTAGTGATATTTACGAATGGCCACCTATAACCTTTGATCTATTACAAATATTGTTTTCTTAAATTTTGCCAATCAAGCAGTGCATGATTTAAAAGCCTGATTCAGCCACAACACATGCCACGTTGCGATTCGTTTAAATTTCTGTGGACGTGTCCCAGTTATATTCGGGTTTATCGAAGATACTATAATAACACACAAAGCAAACAACTGTTATTTTCTAAAATTACTTGGCAACTTGCACACGTATTTTATATGTTTAACTCATGCCTACATTTGTATGTGAAGAAATTGTTTTATGCGTTAAACTTAAGAACCAAAAGTTTAATCTGCATATTTTGAACATGTTCCATTTACTGAAGAAAGTTTTTGCCCATATGGGCTTTTGTGTAGTTCTTAATTTTCTTAAAACTTTTCTTACCGTGTGCTTCATCTTTACCTTAATACTCCTTAAAGCATATTTTTGGTAGCAAGAGTAAGAAGAGAAACAATGTCATTACTAAAAATGATTTCTAATCATCGATGGTCAACAGATTCAGTTTGCTCTACCAATGAATTTGGTTTGGACTGTGACAAGTCATGTAACTGTGAGAATAAAACAGAGACGTGTTTTGTGGCTACTGGAGGATGTCCATCTGGTTGTGCTGCTGGTTTCTATGGAGACGGCTGCCAAAACGGTAAATCAATAATGTTTATTTTACCCAATTTTTAAACATATGTATTATAAATCAATAGATGTTGGACCAAATTTTGAAACATCGTTATTAAGAATTTTTTAGTAGAAAGGAAGTTATATGTTTTATTATTTATGTATGTCATTGTTTAGATGAGTGCTCATCAAAGTATAACTCTTGCCATGTGCTTTGTTACAATGAACGATTTTTTATTAAACATGAGATATTTAAAAACGCTATTTTTTCATACCCGAATTTATGTAAAAAAATCAGCCTTCCAGAAAGCTTCAAATCTAATGGGCTTAGATAATATATAAAACGATAAAACCTATTCAGTTTTACGAATAGCATAAGAATAGCATAAGAATAGCATAAGAATAGCATAAGAATAGCATAAGAATAGCATAAGAATAGCATAAGAATAGCATAAGAATAGCATAAGAATAGCATAAGAATAGCATAAGAATAGCATAAGAATAGCATAAGAATAGCATAAGAATAGCATAAGAATAGCATAAGAATAGCATAAGAATAGCATAAGAATAGCATAAGAATAGCATAAGAATAGCATAAGAATAGCATAAGAATTGCACACGTTAATGCAGTAGAAAAAGTGATTTCTAATAAATACATTTTTATTCATTAATGTTTGATTTTATATACGACATATCCTATAATTTAAAAAAAAATTGTAAATTGCCCAATTTTAGATTATTTGGGCAAAGTAACCAACCCCTCCTCCACCCTGGATGAACATAAATATGCTCAAATTGAACGGTGAAAAAACCGAGCTGATACCCATTGCTACCGCTCAAAAGCTAAAATCTTTAAATAACAAACTATCCCTTAGTCTCTCAGTAATACAGATGAGTTTGAACAAACAGTGCGAAACATGGGTGTATACTTGGATAGAACACTAACTATTTAAAATAACATTAACATGATTTGCAAGGTGATTTTTCTAGAGCTGCTTAAACTGAGTCAATCAGACCTAACGTTTGATGCAACCAAGAGGCTGATGTCTGCATTCGTGCTATCATATAGGGACCACTACAATGCTCTTATGGTGGGTCTTCCAGCTACGCTCCTGGATCAATTTAAAAAAGCACAGAATAATGCGGCTCGCATCGTTTCTTCGCAAATGCAAATTTGACCATGTTAAAACACTTCCGAGAGAGTTGCATTGGCTGCCTGTCCACGCTGGCATAAGTACAAAATTGAAACTATGTGCTACAGCTGCTTGCATGACCTGGCGCCGTCCTATATCAAAGCGTTGATGAGGACTTATGTACCCACTAGAGAACTCCGCTCATCCGATAGTGGCAAACTCTTGATACCTCGTGTTCGCTTTGAGAATTACGGAAGGCGCACGTTGGCATTTGCTGGCCCAACAATTTTGAACACACTTCCTGATCGTTTCAGAAACAGCCAGACACTGGAGTCTTTCAAACCCGATTTGAAAACACATCTATTTCGCAAAAGCTGTTGGGTTGATGGTGTCTACCATCTTTTCCAGCTGGCTATTATCTCCTAGATGTATATTGGCCTGTGTTGATTATGTTTGCAAGGGATGAAAGAATTAGAATAGGTATTTTCGTAAGTTGTTTTTTGTAATGTTGCATTTTGTATTTCAATGTGGTATAATATCGATTTTTTTTATTTCTCTTTTAATATGGTTAACTTTGTATCGCTCTTTGAGCCTTTGTGGAAAAAACCTGATATTTAAATAAACTTTATAATTATTATTATTATGATCTATTGCAAATAAATATGATAGGATATGGCATAAAAGTCGAAATATGATGTTCCAATTCTTATTATGTTATTTTGAGTTTAATTTATAATGATAATGTTAAAGTACTTTGTTTTGTATGCCAGATATGATGATGTTTTTTGTGAGTTTTTTGTTGTTGCGGGGAGCAGTTGCATATTTCTCCCTTAATTTTTTTTTCATAATTTGACATGAAGTTTTTGCTTATTAATATAACGGTTTGCTTAAGTTGAAAGACTATTTATTAATTTTTGCAACTAGTTTTTTTTCTTCAAATGAAAGTTTAATTTTTCAAAATAATTTTATTAAAAAGTATATCTAATTTTTAAAAATTCATTTTTCTCATTTTCTGTCCGATAAATTGTTTTAAAAATTTAGTATAATTTTTTAAATATGATCTGATAAGAAATGACAGATCAGTAAGGATTACAAATTGTCATTTAAAATATTTCTTATTAAAGAGGAATTTTAATATATAAAAAAAAAGATATGTGGCAACAGAAAAAGAAAAAGCAGAAAAAGTTTATGAACATAATATCTGCTTTCTTTCTAACAACAGTCTCAATGCAACGATTTCGTCTGGGCTTATATCAAATGTAAAAAAAAAAAAAGCTATGGCTTTTATATAAAACAATTTAAACGATCCCCATGAATTTCCCCCATAGACCACCATTTATGCTCTGCAGGGGTAACATTTCAACACCATATTTTGCTAATCTAAACACATTTACATGCTATACATATTTTAAACCTCGGACATTTGAATAATTTAAAAGAAAAAATTGAAGAAACCCTCATAATGTTCGTGTGCGCCTGTTAAATCCTGAATTTCTATTTTTTTTAAATATTTCATGAGTTCATTTAATAAATATATCGTCTTTTCTCGGCCTGAGGGGGAGGTGGGGAGACAGGAAGAGGGGGAGTTAAATTTCACCGCGATACATCATTTTGTTTTACTGTTATAAAATAGTAAATAAACATACTCACATACATGCATACAGTCACACCGAAGTTTATTTTGAATTTAAAATTATATGAAAAGAAACATATCTAGTTTTAAAAAAAAATCACGTTTCAAAGTCAGCTTTTTGATAACAATATCATGGTATCAAATAAAAATGGCGTTTAAAAATTTCACACAACGAACAAAGTGGAGATATCAAAAGCAGCAATAAGGTTTTAGTGGATGTTGTTTATCAATAAGGAGTCGACCATGACGACTTTAAGCATCAGGTTTGTGCTGTTTCTGTCTGTGGATTCGCAGATGGCTAATGAGACCGATTTCGGAATGAAATTTCTTGTGCAGTAGGTGCAGGGAATGATGGCGCATCTTCGGGAGCAGAGTCAGACCGGGCCTTCACGGTATGTCTCTTGCGCTCTGCAGCCGCTATTCTGCCAACTTCCTGTTGCATTGAGCTCCTGTGTAAAGTGAAACGCCATGATTTCGCTTCTTTTCTTTTTTCTTCTACGTGTCTGGGTTTATGTTGCACGCTTTCCGTTAGGCTTTTCGGTTGTCTTTAAAACGCTTCTTCTGCCCGCAAGCAGACCGCTTTCCTTGTTCAAGCTATCAAGACTACAATGTGAAACATGCTTGCTGGTCTTCTGAAAGCAGTCAACGATAGGATGATGACTACGAAACTCCCTCTTGTAAATGGAGGAACACATCTTACCATTATAAGCTGCTATGCTCCAACGACAAGTCCAGATGAAGTAAAAACCATGTTCTACGAGGATTCCACACTATTGGAAATGACAGCGTTGAAGCAAACTCGGCATCACTTAGATCGCTGTTGTACAACACTGCCATGGATTTTCTATGCCCAAGCTCGAATAAGACATAAGGACAGGTTTGATGATAGCTGTGACGTAATCAAGCAACTGCTCATTGAAAAACACCGTCTCCACCACGCTTCCCTAAACAACCAGAGGACAGTCCAAAAGAAAGGTGTGTGCCAAAGTATAAGAAGAGCGGTGCAGCAGAAACTGCGTCTAATGCAGAATACATGGTTTAGCGACAAGGCCGATGAGATCCAGAAGGCTATGCGGACCGACATGACCTACAAAATTTCTACCTCGGTCTGAAAACAGTCTGCGGCCCCACTTTTAGTGAATACAATATGAAACATAGAATAAGTTTCCATCATATTTTGTATGTTGTTAACCACGCCCCCTCCCCAACCCCCACCCCCCTAAAAAAATAATTCACTGATTTTTTAAAGGATTAAAATTTTTATTTTTTAAAATTAAAATTGCACAGCCAAAGCTTAAAAATTGTTATACTTAACAATTGTGCATCAATTATATAAAATAAATTAAATATTATTTGTTCAAGTATTTGGTAACAAAACTATTCATGTTTTTAACATCAAAAAGATTTGTTTATTATATAAGACGAAATGTCAAGAATGAATTGACAATCTCATTTTAATTTTTTGCTGTTGTAGGATGTATGAAATAGAAGAAATATTAATATGATTGTATTCTTATTTATACAAAGGATTACATTTAAAAAAACATTTTTTTTTCCAACCAGAGTGTCCCAAATTGACCTGGGGCTCTAAATGTTCCAATAACTGCAGCAGTCACTGCGTTGATAAGGCATGTGATAAAATTGATGGTACCTGTGTTAATGGATGTGAAGCCGGATATTTCAAGAACACGTGTAATCAAAGTGAGCAGTGAAGAAACGTAATGTAGTAAAAACATTTTCGATTTTTTAAAATAAATTTCACCAATATCGACATTTTGAGAACAAATATAATTTTTTTAACACTAACAAACATTATAAAGAATGAGAATCGGCATATAATTTGAACTATAATGATGCAAGAAATAGTTTTAGATATCACTTTAGGAACAACCTTCTGTATATATAAATATATATATATATATATATATATATATATATATATATTTATATATGACAACACTCCGTCTTTTAATTATAAAGAATGAGAATCGGCATATAATTTGAACTATAATGATGCAAGAAATAGTTTTAGATATCACTTTAGAAACAACCTTCTGTATATATAAATATATATATATATATATATATATATATATATATATATTTATATATGACAACCCTCCGTCTTTTCGAGATGTTGTGACAGCTATGCCCACTTGAAATAATGGCTTAGGAGGCCGATCTCTTAATGGCAGTCTCAGCTGTTTTTTCCGCATGAGAACCTTGACTCCTGGATAAATTGGGCCTTTCGTACCGTAATGCCCTTTTTGTTGCAAGGGTTTTGTTTCACGAATCTCCTGCCCTTTTAACATCTTCATACAATGTTATTTCCCAGCTGGAAAGGTGCTCAGCGTTGACCCCCCATTCGTAAATTTTTTATGTTTGCTTCTCCCATCTTTTTTTTTTTTAAATTTCTTTGCAAAACTACTTAAATTGCAGCTGATGCTGTCCAAAAAGTCTAGGCCATTTTTCCAAGCTCTCCATACGTTAGATAATTTTGTATACGGTCTTCCTCCATTCTTCTGACATTGCATAACCAGCGAAAGTCCCTCATGCTTCGAGCTGAGAATAGGCTACTCATTTTGGCAAATTCCAAAACCGCTGTTTTTAGGCACATTGGCCTACGTTCGAATTTCGAAAAATGCGACGATGAGGTCGATGATGAAAGCTTTTGATTTTTCGCTAATGACTAGAATATGAAGCCCAAACTTCTCTGCCAAATAGAATCGTTCTAAGCACATGCTTTATTTAGTTAAAGATTATTCCACACGCGCTTATTCAGATTAGCCATAGTTTCATCTGCTTTTGCAATCCCAGATATTCAACTCTTTCCAACGGAGATTGTACTAGAGATATTTGAAATTATCAACAACTGACAGATTATGGACCTCAATAGATTTTTTTTTTTTTGAAGGAGACTCTCCTACTGGCATAATGATATTTTTTCCTGTGAAAATATGGTCAATACAAAATATTTAGATGCATTGATGATGCGGTTAACTAAAAATAATGCGTTTGTTGCGGAATACCTTCTTCTGTGTGCGATGTTAAGGCGGCATCGTCAGCAAACAAATTAGGATCTATTTTACCTTGCTCTTAGCACTGAGGTTGATGTTCCCTTGGGTTATCCAGAGGCGTGGAGAGAGGCGATTTGCTATTGGGAACCAGCTTATAATCCTTGAAGTATAATCCCAGGCCATGTGGATTTCGTCCTCCGAAGCCCACTCCATCGTCATATTGTTACGGAAGGATGCCAGAAAAAAAAAAAAAAAAAAAAAAAACTGAGGTGCGAGATATTGAACAGTCCTCGGTATTTATTAATAAAATTAATAGCGAGGAATTATTGGGGAGAAACACTTGCATTGTTGGAGTTGAAATGTGACGGGGGAATTTAAGGACATGTTTCCTGAACATAGAACAAGTACATCAAAGGAAAAGTTGGGATAATATAGGAAAGAAACAACTAAGGAAAAGGTGGATGAATATAGGACATCAACAGCTAAGGAACTGGAGGGATAATATAAGACACAAACAGCTAAGAACTTTGTGGGAGAATATAGGAAATTAACAGCTGAGGACATTGTGGGAGAATATAGGATGTTAACAGCTAAGGAACTGGTGGGAGAATATAGGACACCAACAGTTCAGGAACTGATGGGAAAAATTAGGACACCAACAGCTCGGGTGGTGTTGGGAGAATATAGGACATAGACAACAAAATACGTGTTGTTGAGAGGACTAAAAATTCTGGGGATAAATGAATGAAATACAAATTATCAATTAATAGCTGTTTCTTCGGTAGAATCAAACAAATGGCAGAATGTGAAGATGACAGCCTAAAATTGATATTTTCAAATTAGGTATATAAAGCAACAACTTAAGTATATACTTTTTCACATATAAAAATAATGTTAGTTATAAGCCATTCCGTGACCCTGCTCAAGATCATCTTCTGTGTTTTTATTGTGGTTTTAATTTTAAAAAAAACATAGTTCTAAAATATACTTAATTCAATATAAACAATTAAGTTTTCTCGTAGAGTTATTTTGATAATACTTTTATTAACATCATAATCAGAACTAATGTCCTTAAATCAATATAAAAGTTTATATCATTTAAAAATATCATGATTTCTAAACACATTTAAAGATACAAAATAGTTGTTGTAAAATTTATGTTCGCAGTCAAAATATTTTTTATATAATGACTTTCCAATATTTCCATACCATCGTGTCCCGACTTAACATGGGGCCAAAATTGCTTATCTAAATGTAGTGAACAATGTCTTGAAAGAACGTGCAACACAACGAATGGCGTTTGTATTAATGGATGTAAAGATGGATACATATCGGATAATTGCACAATTCGTTAGTATTTTTTGCCTTTAGTTGTACAATGAGTTTTTTTTTAATATCCTTTGCATTAACTTATATTACCTTCGCTTTTGTTCGTGCTTTTCTTGCTGGCGAAATCTTCAGACGGATATTTGACCCACTTCCTGTTAAACTGTCGAGCGGCAAATAATAAAATATACTATGACATTTTCATTCAAAACATCGAAAAATTAGTTTCTCCGATTTTCCAGTGGGGAAGTTTAAGGATATATGGTGTGACTGATTTTGTTAAATAAAATTCCAGATAACTGAGCTAAATAATCTTCTTTAAAAAAAAAAACAGGCAAGTGCGTTTGGTACTTAATATTTTATATAATTTTTCTGAAATGGTGAAATAAATATTCGGTGTAAAAGCTAGTATGAATATAGAATATTAATATAAACAATTTAAAATGCATATGAAGGATTATTTATGTAAAATTGGTTTTTATGGGTTATTTAATTTCATTAAATGGTATAGAATTGCAAACTTAAGCTATACATCGAATGAAACTTGTTTTCCAAGAATTTCCTAAGTTTAAACACATTATACTTATATGATAAAATATTTTTGAAATATTTAAATGGCATAACTGAAGAGCATACATTAATACATTAAATAACATATAATTAAATTAATTGAAAAATATTTCTAAAAATACGTGTCATTTCAACCACATCCTTACAACTTTTTTTTACCTTAGCACATGGATAAATTTAGGACATTTCTTTGAAAAATATTACGCCGTATATATAAATTATATTAATATTGAATTTAAGAATGCGACAGAGGAAGTTATTTAGTATTGTACATTTTGTTTCTTGTTAGCTTGCCCATCAGCCACATGGGGCAAAAACTGTCAATATAACTGCAGTGACCACTGTTTGGACAACACTTGTAATGTAACCAACGGTAGATGTGATAGCGGCTGTGAGCCTGGGTACTTGGAAGATATGTGTACAGTCCGTAAGTATGTGTGAAAAGATGATCATATGAGAAGAAAGTCTTATCTTCTTAAAGTGAAACAAAAAAGCAAACTGGAAACAAAAAGATAAGTCGTTACAATACTGTCTGTGCCTCATTATTTTATGGAACATACTTATCTTCAAGATATAATATTAATTAGTCGAAATGAGCCCGCGGAAAAAAAAAATGTTTTAAAAAGTATCCTATTTTGATTTTAAAAAATTAAAATACATCACTGAATAAAAAAAGTCAGCTATTTGATTAGTTTATAATGAAAAGGCCAACTACTGACTTGCTTTTAATGAAAGTAAATGTGTCAAAACTCTGTTCAATCTGTATTTGAGGCTATTAAAATATACCTTTAAGGAATATGGTTTTAAAAGTAACTTCATGTTAACATTAATGGCTGTTCATTTAAGTAATCTAAGATTGCTATTGATTGCAATGAGACTGAGCACAAAATAATTTAATCTTTTTTTTTTTTGTATGGTCTACGAATCAAATTATGACAACATATATCAAATACTGGATGCGCACTAGAGCAAATCTGAAAAACCAAATTTTATGGTTGTATAATTTGACTTCAACCATCAATTTCAATCCCTTGATATCTATTTAAAATTAATTTGATTGACGTTGTAGATCCTTTTAATGTTACGACATGAAACTGACGATTTCATGAATTACAATAGACTGAATTCCAGAAGTAAAGTGACATAGAGTTTTATTAAAATAATAATTATAATGTGGTTATAATGCTGTAATAATATTGGAAAACATTGTTTCTTACATAATTTTATCTGATGTTTTAAAAAAAAAATCAATATTTTGCTTTTAATAATTCTCAAAACACTTAAACAACTATTTTATTAGAATGTCCAAAACTGACATGGGGGAGCAAGTGTCTAAAGCGCTGCAGTGATCACTGTCTCAACAAAACGTGTAATTTTGCTAATGGGATCTGTGATTATGGATGTGAGGCTGGTAACAATGACAAACTTTGTCTAGATGGTAAGGAATATAAACATGGCACTTATTTATTTATTTCTTATCTATTTGTTTTAGTTATTTAAATATCATGTACACTGTGCTATAAAATTTGGAATGTCTTTTAAAATTCTTGTGAATCCAGGCCCTAAATAACGCGCTGCGATGACATGCGTTGTTTAGTTTTAACGTATAAGCCTTAGAGAGGTCAACAAGTTGTGTTTAGTTTTAACACATTGGCCTTATAGAGGCAACAGGTTGGTTTTCTGTAGGGAACACAATCCTAGACAACTTTGTTTGCGTCACATTCCAATTCCCTATTGTGAATATGGAAATACTTAGCTTTGATACGTACGTCCTGTCTTCAAAGCTTTTGTGGTCCCCATAAAAAATGCTTATTATCAGTTTCAGGTCTGATGTGACAAAAGATTGTCAATTATACGTTTTTGATTTTCCAGAATGAATAATATGAAGTTAATAGCTTAGCTTTTCTATATACTATCGTTACTGTAAATGATTTTGGTTTTATCATAGTGGATGCTCCGAATAAAAATTGTCTTGTTTTTCTTGACAGAAATAGCTCTAGAAGGTAGAAGAAATTTAAAAAAACAAAAAAAGAAAAACTATTATCATGCTGATTACGCTTAAATGATGAAACATTTGTCCAAATTGAAATTTTAATAAAGACATTTGATATTTTTCCCTTAATAAGCTACAACCCAGTTGGACTATACAGCAGGTATTTATCCTTTTTTTCATAAAGAAATTATATAACACATTGAATTATATATTATTACCATCATCCCAATTAATCGTTTATAGTTACTTCATCACTCAATCAATCAGTACATAAATCCGCCCAATAAGGAGTCTCTATGTCCGTCCATTCTTCGGTGAATCCTTTTTTCTGTCCATCTATCCATCTGTCTGACAGTCTGAATCTATTTATCTTTCTGTCCGAATGAATACCTCTTTGTGTCTTTTTTGTGTGTATGCCATTCTGTTTGTCTTTTATTCAGTCTGGTGCCTATCTGTCATGCTGCTTCTCTCTCATTCATTCGGTCCGTGGATCTTTTTATGTGTCTGGCTATTTGTTGTGTGTGTTCGTGCTAATGAGTATTTTACAAAACCATTTCATTTATCATTATATTGAATCAAAATGTGTAGCATAACAGAACTTAAATTTCGTAGAATAACGTTTTTAATTTCGAATTAATATTATGAGTAGATTGTTAATTGTTAATCTCACGAGTGTTGATATCGATCAATTTGTACTTCCCCAAATTCTTTCTATTAGGCTTTATTACGTAATATTTATTAAACGGCTGATTTTTAAACGAAATAATGTATTAAATTAATACTTCTGTACTTTACATAATTATTTAGCTGTTTCAAATCTTTATCACAAACAGCATATAATTCTGGACTTGGCAGTGGAATCGGTATAGGAATTGGTGTTACGATAGCTGCTGATGTCATCATTTGTATTGTCCTATACATTTGGTTTAAAAGACGAAAAAAGGCTCCACCAAAACCACGTGGTGCAACAGACAGCCATTATGATCATGTAGATCCCATACAACCAAATGATCATCCATATAATACAGTAGAAAAGACTGGTAAGTTAATTATTATTTTAATTTTTTATTAAGAAATATTTAATAAAATATAATTTTCAAAATGTTGTAAAAACTAAGTATAACATAATCATGGTTGTCCATTGGATAGCGTTAATAACGGCGTAAGATAAATCGTAAATTTTACGACACTCTGAGCAATACTATTGTGAGTTTTGAAAAAAATAATAAGGATTTGGCTGATTTCATTTTAAAAATGTGATTTTGTAGAAATATTGTGTTTAGTGAGCTACGTGGTGTTGAATTTGGATTAGTTTTTAATGCTTTTGTGATGGTACTTCAAGGGAATGTATATATCTATAATTTTTTGTTTTATAATGACTTTGAAACAAAAATATAATGTGTGAATGAATATACGAATGTTAGGGAGCATTTTCATGACAGCTTTGTATGGGCATTTGCGTTAAAGCGTGGCCATTTTACTGTATCTCTACGTGTTGCCTTATCATGTATATTTATAGTTGTAAACATATAAAGTTGTAATTTAAAATAAATGAAGGTTGTTTCGTCCCGATATTTACATTTTGCTTTTTTTTTCATTTCCAGGAGATGACTATGATATTGTGAAAGATGTCATGACATTCAACTCGAAAATTAACTCAGTAACGAGAAAAACGGCTGATAAATAAAATGAGGAACATCCTTCTAGTTTCAATATATGTTCGTGTCGAGTATCCTTAATGCAGGGCCGGTGGTAGGGGATGGGGAAGTGGGTGGCTGCCCACAGCCCCGCGTTTGCTGGAACGCGGGGCCCCGCTCGTTGCCGTAGTATATTTATAATGTACATAAGCCTACTAATATTTGCTCATCCAGTCAACACAATATTCGGAGTTATTAGATAGTCAAATGGTCTGAAGGTCAGTCATGGTCCGATACTCTCCCTTCGATTACGACTATAACGTGTCTTAATATCCTATCTGCGGAATATATAACGTCAACGGCTCGGCAAAATTCAATTTGCCCAAGGCCCCGCACCCTCCTAGCGTCGGCCCTGCTTAATGCAATACTATTTATTTTCAGAACATGATAAATCCATCTTATTATCAATATGAAATTAAGTGGGGAGCAAATACAATCATGTTAATGTAAAAGGAAATGTTGAACTAGAAGTTTGTGAAAACCTGAAAGCAAAGACGAAGAAAAACAACGAACATCTCGACACATTCTTCTCGCTGTGCATCTCGGATACAACATTTCCTATCAAATATCTCGGATGCAAAATTCCAGATAAGATATCTTTGATAAAAAGTGTCAGATAAAATATCTTGGATACAAAATTTTTAATAAATACCTCGGATACAAAATTTCAGATAAAATATCTCGTACAACATTTCAGCTAAATTTTAATGTAAATATCTGTTTTTTCGCTGCACAGGGCTTTTTTTTTCAGGATTTACTTTAAACCTTGTTTGACATACTTGATTCTTATATTTTAGTACGTAATTTTTTTTTTATTAGAGTGGACTTGATCAGAAACATCTATAATTATCAACTCACTAGGATTAAGTTTGAAAATATTAAATTCAATTGAGATGTAGTCAAATAAGTAGACTTCAATTATGTACATATTTTTTATAAGAAATGTAAGTTCAATTTATTAAGTTAAGATCAAATAAGCAGATATGCTCCAAGAGGCGGCGATGGCTATGCGTTCATCAACGGGGGGCTCTTGGGAGAATTAATTAAGACGGCCTCGCAGTTGATCAGAAATTTTCATTGTTTAAATGGTGTAAAATGTGGTTCGTGTAAAAATACATAAAGCTTGAATGGTAATATGTATACTTCTTATCTATGAGCACAAACGTTTTTTCAAAGTCTGTTGTATTAGGTGATTCACTAAGCACTTAGTAACAGATTTCGCTAGACGCCTATTCACACCTTTGACAGCTTCGCTCCTCTGCAGACACGCGTATTCTGTCCATTCCCAAGGCACACACTAAAACATATGGTGAACGATCTTTCTCTTTCTGTGCCCCCAAACAATGGTATTCTTTGCCACTACATATCCGCAATATACCAACCACCCAGGCCTTCAAAACTGCACTCAAAACATATTTTTTTAAATTATTCTACCCTGACTAATTCCCCTCCTCTGACCGATAAACGATCTTGCTGGCTGCCGTCCATGGTTAGCCTTGTAAAAGTTAAGTGGTGGGGTGGGTACAAAGATTATTTACACATAGTTCAAGCTAAATATAATAATACACACTTAAGTGATATTAAAATAAAGATTTTTTTTTTAAAGATAACGTGTTAAGGATTTAGTGTAGAGTTATTTCATTACTGAGCTTTAAAATATGCCGATGGTGTTCATTTAACAAAAGTACCCACATGGCTAACATAAACGATGGTTTGCAAGTGAAAATCAATGATAAAATAACGTTGCAATGCTTATTCTATGCTATGTTAAATTGTATTTGAGCATTATAACGTGTATTTATGCCTTGCTTCACAAACCTTTTTTCAAATTATACCCTGATACTTTAAATACTTCCCCCACAAAGAGATGGCTAGTTTAAAAATAACTTTTGCAACTCATTCAAAGCTGCCCAAAGTAGGTGGAAAGGACATGCACAATTCACAATGAATATTTTGGAAATATACAGTGCTAATACTGACACCCTTAGTGTCTATACTCAGATGTTGATGAAATATACAGTGCTATCACTGATATCTATAATATGCTATTTACCAATAGGTTTATACAACAATACAGGTTCTATGTGAATTGAGTGAAATAGGCTTAACTTTGTAGCAATACCCTTTCTTGCTCCATATTGAAATATTGGTGGATTTAAAACTAATAATATCCAATGCATTCAGGTTCCCTCTAGAATTTTCTAGAAAGTTCGACAGTTTAAAAAAGCTATAATTATGGCATTTTGAAGCCGATTTCAATGAGACACATTTCACATTTAAACTCTATAATTTATCTGAATGATTTACAAAGGGCCCCCCCCCCCCCCATTTCAGACATAACTAAAGCGGTACTTTATTAAATGGGTTTCTTTTGGGCTCTTATTTCAATTTAAATCTACTAAAGTTATAGTAGTACAATTCAGTTGTATAATATTTACCATGTGAGAAATAATTATGTAAAAAAGATATTTTTTTACAAGTTTAATGGAGGATATGAAGTCGATATTGTTCTACGGGGATTTTAGTTTAAAATCGTATTCGAATCAAAATTGCACTGAGCATGATCCCATAGAGGAACAGACTCCTAATTGGGAACGAGATCCAACATAAAACTGGAACAAATCGGCTAAGCAATGCAATCGTGTAACGGTATTCAACTGGGATTGGGATCCTAATCGGGAAGCGGGATAACATTAGAAAAGAGGGTCCCTATGTGGAACGGGATCCCATAGAGTACGGTATCCTAACGAGATCGGTAGCCTACGTGATAGAGATCCACCTAGATCGGGATTCCATCTGGTTTGGGACCCCACTGGTAGGTTGGATTTAACCACGATCGGAATCCCACTGTGATCTAGATACCGATGGTATGGGACCCAGAACTGGATTCCCCTGGATCCGGAGCAACAAGAAAACGGAATCCCACCTGGAACGGGATCACATCGGACACGGGACTGAGCTGGGATCGGGGTCAGAATGGGTTCCAACAGGTTTGGGGTCCCACCAGGATGGCCTTGCAAGTGCAATCCCGGGTATATTCTCAATAATAGAAATTACTAACGAAATATTTGAAAATCTCCTAGGCCCTAAATCTTTTATCTCATAATATTTGTTAAGTGCACCAACATAAATCTCCCATCTTTGAACCAATCTTTGATTCTGTTTGACACAATTTTATCTGTAAAAAAAAGTTTAAATTGTATTGTTCATTGCACAATTATACTTCAATAAACATCTATTCATTCGACACATTAATCATGATTTGTATTAGATTTAAATAAGTAAGTATGGCACTGGGAGATGGTATAGTCTAGGGCGGATAGGGGCGCTAAAATGCATGGGCGATTTTTGAGGGTTCTAACGCTAACAAAAAAGGTGCTGAAGAAGTTTTCAGTAACACGTTTTAAATTTTGTTTAAAAAGATGATACTGTTCTTTAATTTTTTATTGTATTCGGCTCACATACACTTGGGCATTGCTGTCTATGCAAAGAAGCAATAATTCAGCTCACATACACTTGGGCATTGCTGTCTATGCAAAGAAGCAATGATTCAACTCACATACACTTGGACATTGCTGTCTATGCAAAGAAGCAATGATTCAGCTCACATACACTTGGACATTGCTGTCTATGCAAAGAAGCAATGATTCAGCTCACATACACTTGGACATTGCTGTCTATGCAAAGAAGCAATAATTCAGCTCACATAAACTTGGACATTGCTGTCTATGCAAAGAAGCAATGATTCAGCTCACATACACTTGGACATTGCTGTCTATGCAAAGAAGCAATAATTCAGCTCACATACACTTGGACATTGCTGTCTATGCAAAGAAGCAATGATTCAGCTCACATACACTTGGACATTGCTGTCTATGCAAAGAAGCAATAATTCAGCTCACATACACTTGGACATTGCTGTCTATGCAAAGAAGCAATGATTCAGCTCACATACACTTGGACATTGCTGTCTATGCAAAGAAGCAATGAGGGATATTTGGGTATCTATTTTGTTCTTTGTCCATCAGGATCAGTACAGAATACTCTACCAAGTGTTACACCGTTACACTGAGTCTACGTCATCCTACACTAACTTTGGAGACTATCAACAGATGAACTTGTCTGTGGCCAACAACTTGGACAATTCAAAGAGTTTGGACAGTGACAATATTTACTCAAATACTTGAATGCTGTCATAAATAAAAAATTTCTAAAACTTCATAATTTAAAAATTAAAAACAAAGCACACCTTATTGTATATTTATATATTTAATAGTTGATTAGGATGATAAATAGAATTGACATAAAAATAGACTCTCCAAGGACTGCCGTAATAATGAAAATGAAGGAAATTTTCATTAGGCCGACTGTCTAACAGCTTAAAGAAACATTTTCCTAACTGCTGACTGTATAACTGTTTATTTCATGAAACAACATGATTTGAACACAAGCCTGTATGTTTGTTGAGAAAAAACACAATGTTAAAAAATATATGTTTTTTATTGTTAGTGTAATTATACCTCATGCTGATGTGTCATTGACCAAAGAGATTTCAAATATTGAAAATGAAGGTATAAAACTTGTGTGTCACAAGAAATGAATTAATATTGCCCTCAAATTTCATTTTATTTTTTTATTTATCTAAATTAATCTCCAGATTATCTAATTGAATGAAAATATTATTAATATACCAAAGTAACCAACTGAAATAGAGAAATATTAATACTTATTTAGATAACATGTTAATTTAAAGCCAAATAATGATTTTTAGCTAGTAAAATGATTAGTAATTCTGTTCGAATAATGTCATTTTTTTTACTTCATGCAATCTAAAATATTGTATGTTATGTTCTTTTCTGTTTAATACATTGGAACAGTGACATAATAAATAACACTGACTTGAGGTTCAAATTTTAACAGTTACTGAAAAAACACACGAGTATTATTAAAAATCTGTTGTTTTTTGTAAGTGTTAATATGTGTTGAAATAAATTAATCTCCTTTTTAAACAGAGGATTTAGTTCAAAAAATCGCTTAAAAATGTCATAGAAACAAAAATTAAGTTCCGGTTCTGCTTACTTTATTCACTGATCAATATGGCGCTGGGTGAAAAAAGGGGATTCTTTTTTTAAAAAGATAAACGTTAACTTATTTCTAAATACCAAAGACTTTGAAACAATTTTTAAAATGAAAACGTTAGCCTATTTGCTTATCATATGATTTTTCTTTTGTAAACTATGCAAGACTCTAAAAAGTAAACTGATGTATTGCATTTCAAAGATTCATTGAAAAACATTTTTTTACAATTATAATTATGAAATTGATACAAGATAAAGTGTATGTAAATAAACAGGTCAATCTTTATACTTTCAATATTAGACTTTATTTTAGAAAAAATAAAGTACAACATAAGTATATACGTTGGAAAGTAGAGAGCAAACCCACCATATTAACAACTTGTATTTAGCTTGCATACAACGATTATAAATAAAAATATTATACCTTTCAAATACAATAAAATGTGTATTAATCAATAACTGTACATTTATTTTTGTTGTCATTGATATAATTGCTGTGTTAGCTTTAAGTATTTCCGGAGTTTCATCATTTTATCCAATCTTTCTGCATATATTTCTTAACTTTAGGAATGAAACTATTGTTTTATATGAGATATATGTGTGTGAACAGTTCATCAATCAGAGTCATGAGCCCTGAGTCAATGTGAATCTGAATACCTGAAACAACGTTATAGTGATTTAAAAACAATACAACGGCAAACGAATTCGAATCTAGCACGTGTTCAGATTGGTGACATTTTTTACCTTGACACTTCAGATTAAATAAGGAAAACGTTTTAAAATTTAAGTCTTTCTTGATAACATAAGAAAATAAAAGAACTTTAAGATTCCTGTCAATTTCTCGTGTAGAGCAGCACATGTGCTGTGACGTTGAAAAGACAGCTCAGTCTGACGTCACAGCACATCTAAAACGAAATCAAATCTGAGAATCCACTGAGCAAACTTTTGAGAAAAATTACTACAGCACAGGCACAGTTGTTTGTTTGGGATGAGTGCATTATGGCGCTAGAAGCATTGGCCAGAAGCTTTAAAGACAGCTGGAGAAGTCAATGTTTTATATTTGTGATTATATAGTTCATCAAATGAAATGACCATAACCACCACACACATCGTACTTTGTGAACTCGGTTGTGAATGCACAGATGGCTGATGTGACCGATTCTGGCATGAAATATTCTTGTGCAGAAAAGTGCACGGGATGAATGGGACATCTCAAGATGCAGAGTTAGTTCAGGCGTTTCAAGCATGTCTTTTGTACCTTGCATCCGCTGTTCTATAGGCGTTATGTTGTAGAACCTTGTTTACAGAGAAACACCAAGATTCTTCCCAAGTGTACGGGTCTATATCGAACGCGTTCAGGTAGGCATTTTTTAATACTCATTGCCGGTGACTTCAAGCAGAGGTTCACCGTATTTCTGATGAGGTCATAACCTCTCTTAAGACATCCTACATATGGAAATGAATTCAAGTCCGATCCATGTGAAACAACTTGAGGGTTCAGCTCAAAAGTTATTTAAAGGATGATAATCTCACAAAATTTATTCTTCAATTAGGATAATGGGATTTTCAGGAGATGTTGGCAAGGTAACGGCTCATTCCTGCCAAAGACAATCAGGGACTTGAACATGCTTCCAAAAGGAACAGTTGGTGCGAAGATACTTGACACATTTCCGTCTATTGCCTCAGGCCTTCCGAACCCCAGTTCATGATACTCTCGCTGAATAGCCCTTGCAACCAGTGAAATATCCTCTTCAGTACCAGTCACAGAAATATTGTAAATGCATCTATATACATAGCAGCTACAATGATCAATACATTGATCGTTGGCCCTTAATATATGGAATAAGAAGCAGGTTTTACCCAGCTTCCGGTACTTATCGAAATATCCATTGCATGGCTTTCCAAATAACATGCCCGACTTTGTGATAGATCCCCTCAAAAAAAAAAAGACAAACCAATTCACGTTGACCTTATTCTTGAACTTGTATCTCGTGTTAACTTCAGAACCTTTCTGGCACCTTGGAAGAAGAGCAAAGAGACTTTTTTCATTCTTTTTGTTTTGGTCTGCGTAGAACTCTTCATGTTTGTACTTTTCATAATCTGAATTAAGTGAAAGCAAATATATCTACCTCCCTGTATAATATGAAGTTCATTAATTTAAAAAAATGTTAAATAACTAGAACCAAAAAGAAAACAATACAATCCACATGTTTTAATTATGAAGATGAACAAATAAAAAATTTCATGTAATTTCTCATGAAATAAATAAAGATAGCATACTACTGGTCACATATTTAAATTAAATGATTCACTCACAGCGAGCGGAAACACCAGCCAAGCTTAATTTTATCACTCAAGCTGCCTCTTAGAAGTTTCACGCTAGGCGTTTTTAAATTTCTCTGACGCCATTGAAATTTGGATTCTGGTCAGTGACGTAACTAGGGCTAGTGCATCCTGGTGCAGGCCAGGATTTTTGTCACGCCCTTCCCTGAAAAGTTTTCAGTTGGCTTCCTCTGTGCTCTTATTCCGACGCCACCGATTCCGGTGGTCCTAGATTGTTGTAAAACTCTCACACCAAAAATATTGAAATAAAGCGCATGAAAACTTCTAAACAAATGGTAAATAAATTTGACCAATGTTTAAGTATTTAATTCTGATGTTGACGGAAATAATGACATCGGATACATCATAAAAAAAACAAAATTATTGAAAGATAGAACAGTCCAAATTGTTGAATTAAGAAGGTAACTATGAAATATTCTTTTTGCATGCGCATCATTCGCAAAATAAAGTAGTGCATATTGTGGAGGGTTCGGACCTGGAGGCGCCAACTGATCAAAGGGCTGGGCGCGTCAGATCTCACAGCAAGGTTACCGCCCATCTGACCAGGGTATTTCCCGGGGACGACTGGTTCGGACCTGGAGGCGACAGGGGTGGGAGCAGCGACCGACTGATCAAAGGGGTGGGCGTGTCAGATTACAGACCTGGGAAAGAAACTCTATGGGCTTGGGACTTATAAATAGGGACCTCTGGACAGGACTGAAGAACTCGGCCGGACAGAGGAGCGGACAGTCAGGGAGAGCTCCGACGGTAGGAGAAAGGGCAGTCAGAGTTGCGAGATGAAAAAAATTATAAGCGAAGTGTCAGCCCAATAGAGAACAAGATTATAATCATCAAATGTTATAACCTGAGTTGCTTCCTTCGTGACTACCAGATATAGATGAAGGTATTCAGAGAGCAAACAAGGTTACCTTACAATATTAAAA